CTCCTACTCATAAAAAGTGAGAAATACACGACAAAAAAAACTGAATTTTTTTCAAGCAGTCGCTGAACCATGAAAATGAGGTCAAGGACAATGGACATATGACAGACTGAAACTTCATAACATAAGGTATCTGCATACAAGGTATGTAGCTTCCAGGTCTTCTACCTTCTGAAATATAAAGCTTGATACAAACAGTTAACGCTGCAGCCTCAACCGGATAGTATATACCGGTACCTATGTCTCGCATACTGGCAGGCGACACAACAAAGGATTTAGAGCATCCATCCATGACACAAATTCAGTACATGCACAGCAAAAAAAACAACACAAAAACCAAAGGAACATTTAAACCATATGTAACAAGTGTGCACATGCTGAAATGTCTTGCCTGTTTTACTGACCATTAATTCTATGTTGAAAGTCTTAAAGATAAATGTTTTACTGCATGTATCACATAAACTTAACATTTCTAAAGATCCATAACAAAATGACGTCAAGGTCAGATAAATCCTGTCAGACAGACATGTTCATCTTACAATTATTCCATACACCAAATAAAGTTGACCTATTGCTTAAGTTAATTGAAAAACAGACCAAAACACAAAAGCTTAACATTGACCAATGAACCATGAAAATGAGGTCAAGGTCAGATGATACCTGCGAGTCTGACATGTACCTCTTACAATCATTTCATACATCACATATAGTTGACCTACTGCTTATAGTATCTGAGAAACAGACTTAATCGCATAACTTTAACCTTGATCACTGATCCATATTATAAGGTCAAGGTCAGGTGAACCCTATCTGACCTACCTGTAGACGTTGCAAGGAACCCATATACTTAATATAGTCATCCTATTACTCATAATAAGTGAGAAATTCACATGACAAAAAACTATAATATTTTTTCAAGCAGTCGCTGAACCTTAAAAAAAAGGTCAAGGACAATGGACATTGACAGATGGAAACTTCGTAACATCAGGTATCTGTATACAAGGTATGAAGCATTTAGATCTTCTTCCTTCTGAAATATAAAGCTTAATACAAATAGTTTACAGCACCGCTGCCAATGGATAGTAATCCTTATATCTTGCATACTGCAACTTTTGTCGCAGGCGAGAGACGCGAGACAATAAATTATGAAAAGAAAATTAGGGGTTAGTGGGCAAAATATTTTATGGCACAACATGGATAGAACCAGAGGATACCGAATATCTGACAAAATTTAAATAATAAGAGCAGCAAACATCCTTAAGAGGGCAGATAGTACGAATGAGGTTGAACAGTTCATAAGTTTTTGCACGGAAGCAACATATTTTCATAAAGTGTAATTTTCCAATCTACCAAGGACCATAACCGCTGAAAAATTAAAGTGAAAATTGCCAATATCAAACTTGACCTCCATTTTGTCTTCAGTAACAACATATCAAAATTTAAAAAATATTGGTTAAACGGTTCATAAGTTATTGCACAGACACTAAAAAATAATAAAAGAACAGAGTTCCAATGTTCCCCGCATTCCAAATATTTTATCTGTTCTGTCCAAAGGGCAATAACTTAAAAAAACATTTTTTTTTGTTCTTTAAAAATTTTTTAAATTATCTTACTAGTGAGTTGAAGACTTGAGAGTAATTTCCTATATTTTTAATATTTCAAAGGGAAACTCATTTAAATTGTTTTATCGGCACTTATTTTCAAAATTGTCGAAGACATTGCTGTTATATACCTTTGATATGAATTTGATAAAAATGTCAAAAATTGTTCATGTGAGAACACTAACAATGCAAATTTCCATATAATTTATATTTCTAAGGGCCATAACTCTTTTAAAAATAGTTGATCGGCACTGATTTTTGAACTCATCGGAGACATTGATGATATAAACGTACAATTGTTAAGAACCCTAACCCTAACCCTAACCCTAACCCTTAAAAATCTGGCAAGAATTGTACACATGAGAGTGCTAACAATTCAATTTTCCATATAATTATTGTTTCCAAGGGGCATAACTCTTGAAAAATAGTGGATCAGCACTGATCTTCGAACTTGTTTGTGACATTGCTGATATAAACCTACAATATAAGTTTCATAAAAATTTGGCAAGAATTGTACCCATAGAGTGCTAACGATGCAACTTTCCAAATAATTAATGTTTCCAAGGGGCATAACTCTTTTAAAAATAGTTGATTGGCACTCATTTTCGAACTCATTCGAAATATTGCTGATATGAATCTACGATATAATTTTTATAAAAATCTGGCAAGAATTGTACCTGTGAGAGCGCTAACAAAACTGGATGGATGGATGGACGGACAGACGCCCAGTATTTCTTTGTCCCCCGCAAACTGTTGCGCAGGGGACAATAACAGAAAAATCCTTGATATAGTCTCATGACGGATTGATGTAAATGTTAACTAAAGGGACAAGATAGATTAAAATATTTTTGGCCCTATAAATATATAAATAAATGCCTGAAATTGAAATATGATGATCAAACAAGATAATTGGCTCTCTCTTGAGTTAGTTGATAAAAAAAGTACTCAATATTTTGGTACTTTTCATCTGGCCTGGGTAGAAAGCCATGAAAGTGAAACTTAGATGTTTTGTTCCCAGTGGCAACAATTGTTTAGGTTTGTGATTTGGTTACACAGACGAGACATATCTCTGAATCAACAATCAATTTTGTTTAATATCACTTTATTTTGTGCCTATTAAACCAATCTTATGCTGCATATCTTTTCTATTTAATTTTATGGTTGAATTATACATAATTGTTTGTAAATCAGAAATAATAATGATGAACTCACTATTTAATGAAATGTACTGTAAACAAAAAACAGTGTAGTGATGAATAATTATATATTTTATAGAAAAGCTAAGATAATGATGCATTTTTAACCAGTAAGAAGAATGTAAAGATTGTGCAAATAGATTCCACTAAATCAAAAGGTAACCTTACTTGCCATGGAAGTACCTGAAGCTGTACAATAAGATTTCTGAATGTCTTAAAAATGTGGTATAGCATTAGCCTGTAAGACAGTTGAGATGTAGTTTTTCAATTTAAAATTAGTTATTAAAGGTCGAAAATAATGACTCAAATAAGTTGTTTGCAAAAGATACTTAACATTCATGTCTGAACATGGGGGCAAAACTGTAGGAATTGTTGATTACATAAAGCTTGTACCGTCTTTCATAAATTTTGCTATAAAATGACTAAGTTCCCAAATCTGGAAAAATTAGAAAAAATTCCTAAAACAATTTTATAATAGCAGGTGCACAACTTCAGCATATGTGCAATCTTCCTGTGAGAAGTTTCAGGGATCTGGGTTGAAAACTGTAGGAGGAATTGATTACACAAATTAGGTTCCCACTTTTCCCAGCACACCTGCTGGCCATCACCATACTATAAGTCGGTTTTGGACTTTGTCCTTCCAGGCCAAAAATAGAGATCAAACTTAGGAGGTGTATTATATTTTTCAGTGTATTGCAATGGCAAATAATTTAAAACTATCTGGATTGCAGATAAAACTTTTACTCAGGTAATCAGGACTCAAACTATTGTGAATTTATATATCCTTGAGATATGTGATATTTACCACAGAGACACGTCTGATACTCAACACCCAGGAACTAGTAACATCTAAAGAAGATGTGAAGTTGACTCATGTGTCAGAAGACGCTACTACAATTAAACGTATTTTGAAATCTTAACACATTTTACTGAGCTTTCACAACAAGGTGTTTATTTATCACACACTGTGACATGTTTGAGTGTTTTAAATACAAAAAACACCTGTTGAAATTTACAACTTTCATATCAATAGCTATTTCAAGTAGATCTAATGCAATCAGAAATATCTAAGGATATAGTTGTGTACTGTTCTAAATTCCTTTTTGTCACAATATCTCTCATTGCACAGATTAAATCTTATTTTCTATGAAATATCTTCTTCTGGAAATGCATGATAATTAAGCAATTTTAGGTTAAATTTGACAATTCCCCACCCCCCCCCCCCCCCCCCTTTCAATATTTTCAATATTTCCAGTGTTTGTTAGGGAAATACTATTTAGTGCACATGGTAATATATAAACTTTGACTGAAATATAGAATGATTTTCAATATTTCCACTACCTTTTCATTCTTTCTTTGGAAAAATATAAAATAATACACTTCATTGTAAAAAAGGTTAATTATTTTTTATAATTTTTTTCACTAATAAAGCCTATTTCTGATCACTTAAACAATACTCTATTAATTTCTAATTTCTATTCAATACAATGCATGCCAAAAGCAATTTTAATCACTGATGTTAAAAAGGTATTACAAGAATGGTTAGACGTTGTAAATGTATGAATGTAACATGGACAAAAATAATTAATCATATGAATGTTGTAAAGCTTCTTCAAATATTCTAAATGGAATTGGTATGTTAGTATTAGTATAATGAAAAAGGTAAATTTGATTATCTCCCCTTTAACATATTGGACAAGGATTATATTCCTTTATATATAGCATAAGGTATAATTCAATAACAGTGTAAAGTTTAATCAATATCCATCTAGCCATTTACCATGACAAAGCACATAGACAGGTGGAAAGAAGACAGATGAATATGTCATTCTCAATAATCTCAAAAAACTTTGTTTGCTGGGGTATACTGGCATTAATCGGATAATAATTTTTATCCCAAAAACTGCATTTAAGAAAAGCAAATGCTATATATCAAAAACCAATGAAAAACTGTTTTGGCTTCTATTTTGCCATGAAGACTTAAGGGCACATGATCCATAAACTCAATGACAGCCATTGTTTTGTGCCTTTAAAATTGTTTTAAAATTCAAGACTAAAGTTATTTCATCTACAACTTAGTGATGATGACATTGAAACATTCAAATCATACTATGACTGCGTTTCTTAATAGGATATACAGGTTTGACTGCAGGTGATTGGCAAGCTCTTGAGAATTTATCATTTTATGTATTTGAAATTTACCAACCTTTTCTGAAGCTACTGATGCAAACTTGGTAGCGCCCAATGCAAATGTTGACCATCCCTGAAATATTAAAATATCGATGCCACATGTGTTCTGATGATTGTTATTTTTTTGTTCAGTTTATCCAGACATTCTTCTACATATTCTCTAGCAGTCAGAATTTAACTGTCTTATATGTAACTGTCTTATCTGTTATACAATGAATAAACAACTATTTTGATGTGAGAAGAAAATTTTGACCAATATCATAAAGTATACTGCCCACTGTTTTACATTTAGGGTAAGTTTCCTTCAATTTTGCATAATTATCATGAGGATCCAACCAATGTTGTTTAAAAATTGAGGATTCTGCTGACATGGCTGAGGGAAGAACAAAAATTTGAGAACACAAATTTACAGATCTAACATTGTTGGGCTAAATTTGAGACAAATTATATATATATTATGGTGTTAGCCCTGTATAACTATGGGTTATCCAATGGAGAATGTCTTTCGTAAAGTTGTCACATGTTTAGACGTATTTATATATATATATGTAGTGTGTCTGCCTATAAAGTGCCTAGAAAAAGTAGATCAGATCTACTCTAACATTAATAGGCTGATTTTCTAGGTACTTTATATATACAGATTTTCAAAATTTATTGACAGTGATGAAGGCTATTTGTTAAGCCGAAATATTTGTCAACATGATTTTATAACATCATCTTCGTATATTATCATCTTCTATTAGTACCGTGGTGCAAATCTTTATACTTATATAATTTTTTCCTTATCTGGGCAGTATCGTCTATTCTAGACGATCCGGTACATATTAAATTTGCTGGTTGGTCCTTTTTATAGACTTCTATATATATATATGCATTTGACTAGCAGGTCGAACAACGGATGTTCTTAAACCCTGCTGACTGCCATTGGCGATTGCCAAATAAACGGATCACCAGATGTAACAAAATGGATCTTAACTATTAATTCAATACCATACAGAAAACAATAAACTTGCGGAAAAGATGGTATACCGCGAACAAAAGGTGCAAAAATTAGTACACCATAATCCGGATTTTGACAATTAATGTCTCTTCAATGATGTTAGGAATCGAAATGGTATTTGGAAGGCCATATAATTTACCTCAATTTAGGATAGACTCTTGAATTTAGAAGAGTCGAAAATAGGATGAACAGATCATATAAACCCGAAGGCAAATATAACACAAGCCCAAACGAAAAAATATAAACAAGTCTAAATTAAAAACAACGTTCAACCTATGATTGCGTTGGATAAAAACTGCAATTTTTATACGTGTGCATGCAAAACAAATTTTTTGGTAGAGGGGTCTAAACAGCACATTCATCATTTTCCAAAAGACCAAAAAAAGTGTATAATATATATATATGTAGGACTTAGAACCGCGATGGTACTCCGAACCGCAATGGTTAACACGCTGAAGTGCGATGGTGACATTGTGACGTTAAATGGTTGATAGCTACACTGAAGTGCGATGGTGGTTACGCTGAAGTGCGATGGTCTTCCTGTGACATTGAGTAAAAAGCAAAATGTACATGGGATGCATGAAATAACATCATTAAGATTTGACCAAAGTAGCTGCTAGCTCGCATTTGAAAGATCATTTAATTTCTGTTCAGGTCAAACCAAAGATTTTTTAAAATCTAATTTTACAGTTGCCAATTCTCCGATTAGCACGTAGCAGTATGGAGTCAGAAAATAGATTGGATCGTTCAAATAAGCATAATGGGTTAAACGGGTTTGAGTGGAAGAAAATGTCTTTTTAAGGGGTGTTCATGGGCGATAAAAAAAGGTCCAGCGTATGTGTCTATATATAGTACTGAGCAGGGTCCAACAATCATTCATCCATTTATTTGATGACGGAACAGTGTCAAAGAAGTAAGAAATAGCCAATTATATATATTCATGCTTGATTTATAGCATGACGTGTCACGTACTTCACCAAAAACTTTAGAATTAGCTGCATCTCGCTGAGGTGGAGAAATTTGGAAGTACAAGTAGGGACCAGTCAGGTTTATTTCGGTCACACTTATTGTAGAAGATTAACACTGTAACCACAATAAAATTATGCTAGAGTGCCGGTGTTCTTACAAAGCAGGATTTATCTCAGGAATAAAACAACATTATATCAACTTGATATAGCAAAAACATAGGTAATAATTAATTCTATCATTAAATTGTCTATACAAAATCATGTGACGCATACTTGAAGTCAAAATTTATATCTAAATCAATATATTTTATATATTGTGCAAAAAGATTGTGGCATACTTCTGAACACTGGTTAGCACATTTGCTGACCAAGTTCATCTTTCAGCTGCTTTGCTCCCCACGATTTGCTGCCTGAAATGATTTAACATAGTTTTGTAACCTCAACCTGTACTGCTCAAAACTGTTCGGGACTTGAATCGTTCATTACATTTTATTTTTTTCATTCCTTTCTTTCATTGCCTGCGAATCCATGTTGTATTTTTAAAAGTAACATTGTATTTGAAAACGTCACAATATTCAAGCGGCATGCAAAACCATCGCACTTCAGCGAAAGGACCATCGCACTTCGGCGTGGACCATCGCACTTCAGCGTGGACCATCGCATCTCAGCGTCCCCGTCGCACCTCCAAGTCCTACACATATATATAATTATAAACAAGTACTCCATTCTGGATCTTTGTTTATTTCAAACATTGTCTTTTTAAGTGAGTGTCACAATAACTGAAATGCTCCAATGACAATCCAACAGCATACTATATCTATTACCTATTCACAATGGGGGTACGGTTAATCATATAGTACATACAGTAGAGATACAAGGATGCAACTGAATACTTTTAGAAGTAATTATCTTTCTGACTATAGAATTGTCAGCCTTCTTTGTTGGAATAATAGGGTAAAACAATATATTAAAATAATTTACACGTCTTATTAACTATTTCACCAACTGATTGTTAGTGTTACTAACTACTTAACTAGTGCTCGACTCTTATGTACTATTATTTGTAACAGCTGCCATTTTCATTGCACCAGCGGAAGACTTAAAGATTTTAATACACAAAAAAATGATGATAATATCTAACAGCTACCTTGTCATTCAGTCGAATGATCAGCCAGTGTCTAAATAGCTAACATCTACTGTGTGTAAATCTTACTCTGTTATTCCATTTCAATATGCTAAGAGTGAATAAGCGTTTTCACGCATAATTATCTTGCTTCAATAAAATATTTAAATATAAGTAAGCTTACTGAGCTCAAAGATGATAAAGTGTTGTCGAAGAAATCGTCTTCTTTTTTATCAGACATAGGTGTACTTCCAAATCCTACATATTTTCCTCCTTGGCTAGGAGGAAGATTTCTACAAAATAACAGAAAAATGTGATAGTTATAAAAATTCTAAAGGCATTTATCCATTCAACATTTTCTGAAGATGTTATGTTCCTATGTGTTGAACAGAATTGTGCATACTTAATATAATAAAAATATAGTAAGAAATAAGTTTTCTCACAGCAGCCAAAAAAATCATCATCCTAAATTTAATGATAAACTGTGGACACAGAGATATGTCTCACCTATCAGCATAAAATTCAGAAAAAGACAATCTGATGGACAGCAACATTGCTTATTAATTCAGTCACTGGACCATGATCTAGTGGGCAGGGCCTGAAAATGGGTGACAAACTGAGATGTACAGACAGTTGTAACTTTATAGAAAATATCATTGTTTATTGTAAGAAGTTCCTATCAATATAACTTAAGCAGAAAAACTTAACATTGAAATTTGCTAATTAATTCAAAGTCACTGGACCATGTCCTAGGGGGCAGGGCCTCAAAATACTTGTCAAACTGATATGTACTGATAGTAATGCAACTTTATACAAAATATCATTGATCTATCACAAATAGTTCTTATCAAACTGACTTAAGCAGAAAAACTTAACATTGAAAATTGCTAATTAATTCAAAGTCACTGGACCATGTCCTAGAGGGCAGGGCCTCAAAATACTTGTCAACCTGATATGTACTGATAGTAATGCAAGTTCATAGTAAATATCAATAATCTATCACAAGTAGTTCCTATCATACTAACTTAAGCAGAAAACTTAACAATTGTTGATGCCAGAGCTGTCGCCGTCATCGCCCGAAAAGCAATCCCTATGTCTCGCTTTCTGCAGGCGAGACAATAACAAGTAATAATACTGTTACTGACTTATAACAAAACAAAATATGATTCATCTTTAAATTAACAGCTTAAAAAGTTTCTAAGATTTTTGACAGTGCTTAGTTTATAAGCATTTATAAAAAAATATAATATTAAAATGCCTTATATACTCATTCATTTTGTGACCACATCTTAATGCAGCAAATATTAGCTTTTAATTTTTCATTACATGAGGTTGCAGATAATCTGCAACATATTAAATGGTTCAGTCTATTATAGGATTAAACACATTTTTTCTAGAGGTTATTGATGTGTAAACCGGGGCGATTAACTCACAAACTGAATAAAAGTCCGAAGGACTTTTATGTTAAGTTTGTGAGTAAGAGCCCCGGTTTACACATCAATAACCTCTAGAAAAAATGTGTTTAATCCTTATAATTCTTCAGTCAAACATTCGCGATTTTTAGTTAAGATTTTTTGTTTGATGGCTACTACCATCAAATGCACATGTCGTAACTAAGGATTTAGCCGCCATATTGAATTTCTAAAATCCGTAAATATTCGATAATTGCAACAGAATCTAAAATGAAATAGCACCTACCTCAAAAACTGCATTTTAATGAGATATTATCCGAATTTGAAGCGTACTTCGTGTAAGAAAGAAATAATCTTTCGCTTGAAAGTTTTCATTTGTATGACGTCGTGTTTTGCCATGACGTAAATGCGCTAAATCATTCATGAAATTTCGCGGAATTTTTCATGAATTTTAATTTTATGCATTTTCAAAGCTTTAATGCAATATTTTTATGTTTCATATGCATTAAAATAGAAAAAAAAAACTGTTATGTTTTTGTTTTTCAATCTCAATTTGCTGAAAATCCCGGACTCCCTGCATATGCATGTGTATCGCGCATGAATAGATGGTACGAAAGTAGTTTCGGAAACATGGTTTATCGAAGCGTAAACCAAGGTAAAAAATTCTAATTGACCAATCCGTTTCAAGTATTTATAGATATGCAAATCATATAAGAATTATAATTGTATAAACTTACTCAGGTCTGCTGGCATTTTCTGCTTGCATTCTACCAAAATACTCCTCTTTCTGCTTTTTAAACTCATCACTGTGGAAAAAAAAATATCAGTTTGTTAAAGGATGTGACAAAAGGCTTTAGGATAAAGATATCAGTGTTCTCCATTTTTCACTAAGGTAAGGTGGGCGTTTTGAAAAAATCACTTGCAACCGGTCGTATTATTTTTTTTATACTTTTCCAACCGTTTTTTTTTACTGTGGGTGTTGTCACAAAAAGAATGGTTAGTATTGTATTCACATTTAATGGAATTGAATAGCAGATGGCTTTTGCAGGACTCCCTCCTCCTGCCAAGTTTCTGCCTGTCCTATTCCTTGCTTTAGTGCTGTATTTTTGGTACACAGAACAGTAACATCCTTCTTCTGTGACGATTAGCCATTCAAAGTCCTGTTCATATTTCTCAGCTTGGGAACAACCTCTCAATGTAATGACTATCCCTTTTATGAAGGATACTTTTCAAGAGATACAAATGAGCACATATTTATTTCATTTACAGAAACTTTTTCCAAAGAACTATACATCTATTTGGTATTATATGATCAAAACATGTCCAAGAATTTTGTAATAATCCTGGACTTATATCTACTTTATCATTAAAAAAAAGGGACCCTCTTTTAGAAAAGTTGTTCCAAATATTACATAACTGTACAATGTCTCATGTTTGTTGCTTATAGTTATACTATCATAAATTATTGTAAATTGTAAATGCCCCCTGTGGAACCCCGATTGGAATAATAAACTATTTGATTTGATTCAATTTTATAACGAGTTTTCCCCCTTTTTAGTTAAAAAATCTTTTTTTATTTTCTTTTTTATTTTCTTCAACAATAAGACGACCTCTTGTCACTCATTAAGGAATATCCCTCATTAGGGGATTGTTCCCAGCCTGTTTACCAACCTGATCGCTCGTGTCTTTTCCGTTGTTTTGATACCTTTTTTTCAATTTTAACAATTTCAATACAACTATCCGTTTTAGTTGACTTATTTTGCCCAAAGTTTTCCTTATCACCATCGTCATCTGCCTTTCTCTTCCCCCGAATAAAAATAGAAAACATTGAAATTTGACGATCCGCCATTTTTGTCAATGAAAACAAATCAGTGAGGCGCGATTAGTATTCAAATTTTTACGGTGCGGAACCGAAAAAAATCCGGAATTTGAAAAAAAAAGCCAACCAACTCCTAAAATGGAAAGGTGGTCGGCACACCCGCCTTAAATGCCGAATGGAAAACATTGGATAATAATCCATGCAAGTCAAAAACACTAATATTTTACATGTTAAATTACTATTGTAATAGGAATAGATTCAGTACAATCTTGCACATGTATTACAAAACATCACTTTAAGTTTTTGTGCACTACATTATGTTTTTATTTGTGTTTTATATGTGTACTATAATGTGTTTTTTTTTAATTTTTAGCATAGTGTGTACATAATGAAGGTTTAATACTCTAGAAATAAGTGTTGTGCACAATGAAATCAAAACAAATCTTTTTTTTTTTAACTTCTGTTTGGTTAGTACGGCTGCTGGTGTATTTGGCATGCTTAAATTGATATATATTGTATATATTTCCAGTTGAAAAAGTCATCATTGTACTTAAGTGAAGGATCCTTCAAGCAAACTTGACATTAGATACTCTTCAGTTTTTTAGTTTCTCTTCCTTCTATATTTTTTTCTTTTATTAGTGTAATTAATGATCTTTATTCCCATTTGTTTGTGTGACTGGAAATTGTATTATGTTTTGAAGGTAGAAAGAGCGTAATTGTTAAAAAAAACATTGCAAAATTGATACTGGATAGAATTGAAATGACTATCTAATTAATTTCAGTCATAATCATTTTGAGATTTACAACAACTTCTTTATTAGTTTGAAATAGATCAAATCAGAGCTTTAACACAACAGTTAACAGTACATTCCTCCCTGTTAAAATTCATGCTACAGACAGATTAATGTCTTCAGAATTGATTGGCAGCTTTAAATTTCACTTAAGTTAGAACTTGAACTGTTAATGTTCTTTTTTACCTACTTTTTTGTATCAGACTTACCTTTGTAAATTGACATTTCCATCTTGATAACTATTATCTGTAAAGTCATCAGAATATTTTGAAGTGTTCATAGGTTTGTTACTGAAACTGGATGAACTAGATGATGTCTTTAGACCAGCTGATGGTTTATATGCAACATAATTTCTAGCAGAGGAAGTTTCTATACTCCATGGTTTCCCTTCAGCTTCTGCCAAAATCTGATAATGAAAAAAACAACAACATAAATATGCATGAGTCAACTTCCACATACAGATGCAGGATTCGCGTAGTTAAGACTATTTTGTGTTTATAAGCATTGTGTATAAGTTTCATAACATGTGGTTAAGGTAAACTAAAGTAAGAGAACGGAAACGAAAAATTCAGCAATTTTTATGTTTATAAAGGGGCATAACTCATGAACGGTAAAAGTGACGCCACCCAATTTGATCTTGATCTGTGTTTTGTGGTAATAAGCATTGTGTATAAGTTTTATTACATTTGGTTGAGGCAAACTAAAGTTAGAGAAAAGAAACCAATTTTGGGGACATAGGGGATGGACGGACACACAAGGGTAACACTTAATGTCCCTCCGCTACGGCGGCAGCATAAAAATTGTCTTAGGTGTAAATCAAGGAATTGGCCTAGCAACCGAGAAAACACTGTTGGACACAACATATATAACTAGTAACACACTAGATACATATATTACTAGTGACACACTAAATATTACTAGTGACACACTAAATATCAATAGTGACACACAAATATTACTACAAACATTTAAATAAACACAGCAACAAAGAAAAATGAATTTCCTTTATAAATAACCTGTTTACCTTATCTCTGTACAATGCTGCTGCTTTAGAATTGTATTTTTCTTGTAAAGTCATACCAGGATCATAATCTGATTGGGATTTGAAGAAGTTTTTGGCATTTCTGTTTCCACCAGCTTTCATCTTTTCTAACTCAATATCTTTCCATTTATCCATTGAAACAGACCTAACAAAACTAAAATAAAAATAAAACAAAAGATGTAAACCTGTGATATATTGAACCCTGCATTGGAACCCTGTGTCTCATCAGCGTTTGATGTGGTCATGAGTAAATAGATCATTGATTTAAAATACCTTTGTACTAAAGACTATTTAACAGTTACAAGAATAACAAATTAAAGAAAATAAACCCAGTTACTGCGAGTACTCTCAGATCTGTACTTAGTGTCCTTTTTGTTGTTAGGGATGAGGGGTGGACAAATACCCTGCCACGTCCACTCTGTGTTTATGTTTGATGTTTTTCTGCTTTGTATCGATCTGATGAGTTAAGCCTTTTTCAACTGATTTTTATAGTTTGTTCTTATGTTGTGCTGTTACACCAATGTCCCAAGTTAGGGGGAGGGTTTAGCGCTCACAAACATGTTTAACCCCGCAACATTCTTTATGTGACTGTCCCAAGTCATGATCAGGAGCCTGTAGTTCAGTGGTTGTCGTTGGTTCATGTCTGTCATATTTGTTTTTCATTAATTGTTTTGTTATAAATTAGGCCGTTAGTTTTCTCAATTGAATTGTTTCATATTTATCATGTTGGGGCCTTTTATAGATGACTATACGGTATGGGTTTTTCTCATTGTTGAAGGCCGTATGGTTGCCTATAATTGCTTACATCCACTTTATTTGAACTTTAATGGATAGTTGTCTCATTGGCAATCATACCTCATCTCCTTATTTTTATATTATATCATGTATATAGTGGTGTTCACAAACATAAAACTGGGTCTAACTGACTATAAATATATACAAAGAAATGAAAAATAAAACTCTGAATGTTATAATTTGATCATAAAGTTGCATTAGCATCTCAATCCAGTTAACTTATTGTCTACGAGTACACTAAATTCAAGACAAAACGAAACACTTAAAATCTAACCTTTTTGTTATGCTTATCAGTATGAAAATTAAAAATTAGTGAAATAAAAAGTATGTGCCACCAATTTCAGATATGACTGAATTACTTACTGTCAGTGATCATTTCTAAGATTCTATAACAACAAGCATTCTGAGAGTATTGCATGGCAATACATAGTCCCCTACCATTTAAAAATTCATTGTATAGGAACAAAATGCTAACTTGATCTATGCCTTGTCATGGTGTAAACTATATAACAAATATCAAGTCAATATCTTCAAGCACGACATAAAAAAGTGTGAAAAACTGATTAATTTCATGAATTATCAAGTCCAAGGACCATAACTCTGCACAAAATTATCAGACCAGAACAAAATTCAAAATAGATCTGTAACTTGTCATGGTAACTCTATATACATGTACCAATTATCAAATCAATATCTTCAAGCATGACGAAAAAATGTGCAGAAAACTGAATATCTGAGTGAATTTACTAAGTCCATGGAACAAAATGCTAACTTGATCTATAACTTGTCATGGTGTAAACTATATAACAAATATCAAGTCAATATCTTCAAGCATGACGAAAAAAAGTGTGAAAAACTGATTATTTTCGTGAATTATTAAGTCCAAGGACCATAACTCTGGACAAAATCATCAGACCAGAACAAAATTCGAACTTGATCTGTAACTTGTCATGATAAAACTATATACCAAATATCAAATATCAAATCAATATCTTTATGCACGAAGAAAAAAAGTGTGGTGAACTGATTTGCCGGACTGACGGATGGACAGACAGACAGACGGACAGAGTGCAAACCTAAAGTCCCCTTCCACTTCGTCGGTAGGGGACTAATGATAAATAGCATGTATCCCTAATTAATTGGAATGCCTTTATTCATAATTTAATACAATTGTTTTAATCCCTTCGTAGAAAGAATTTCTAAAAATTTCGAATTTCTAAACAACCTACAGTCGACCCCTGAGATTTTTTTTGCATACATTTTATCCATATCCATTCTTTCCTACCACCATGGTCACCAGATATTTAAGGAAAAAATATCATTCAATTATTCATAGTTTAACAATTCTTCAACCATTCACTACCATTCTTTATAAATTTACCTTAAATGGACACCTAGTCCTCTGTGTTTGCCTGAACATTCCAAACAGATCCATATTCCATAAGTCACACTAACCCACTGGGGATTGTGTCCTCCACATTCAAAGCATGTCTAAAATAAAGTTTATATAGATTGCATTACTTAAAGTAACACTATATCAGTTGTTTTACATAAGTAATTTTACATGAAAGTGAACAATCTTTCAGTTTCAGTGTTAACGTTTGGAAATTAAAGCTTTACTCTACAGAATGAAAATTGAATATACATTTTAAACTATAATAAAACTATTTTTAAATCTCTAATGTCACCCAAGTTAAGTGCCACACCATTTATTTTGTTGGAATTTTCAGCTTTTTTTACCACCTTGTTAAAGTCCTCCAGAGTTCATACAATATCTGGGCCATTACTGATGAACTTGGAATTGACTATAAAATGACACTTTTAGCTAAAATGCCAATGGAAGTGAATGTCTGTCTGTAAAATAATTCATAAAATTTAAATAATTATATAACTTCAGTCTTCCCTTAATGTCAAATAAAACACTTCATCAAAGTTTGGAAGTTTTTATAACAGTGATAAAACTGACAACCATAATTAATGGCAGATGGATCATCAACCATCTTTTTGGGTAATTTTTTTTTATTTGTTTTGAAAAAGTTTAAAAAAAACATCAGCACAAGTTGAAAAAGGCTTAGGAGTACTTCTGTTTATCATAGAACACTAACATCAGAAGACAAAACTAGACATGTTGGTACATAACAAATATTTCAGCCACAATAAAGTTAAATGTAGACATATTCTATAATTCTTGATGAATACACAGGGCTAATTCTCCTTGGCGACTAGGGCGAAGAATTTGCATTCCTGTCCATCTCTTGGCTTTTTCAATCGGCCAAAATCAATATCTTGTCTCCCAGTTGCTTTCATAATCTATAATTTTTCATTTTTACAAAGTTGAAGAAACTGCAATTTTTCATTTATAAGTAAAGAAATTCAAATTTGTGAGCACTGTAAATTACATATCAAAGTTCTGATAGATATCTACAGATTTAACTAAATAGTATGGATAAACATGATAACTGTTAAATTTAAAACAAATGAAGACAAACAAAAGACTTCAGCGAAAAACTATCGACTGAGGAAAACACAAACCCTGTCAAAAACCAGGGGTGATCTCAACTGCCTCAGAAAGGTAAACAGATTCTGCATTTTATTGATTTTTAGTGATGACGTTATCATCTTTGTAAACAAAGACACACAGTCTTCAAGTGTTTGTTTCAGATAACATTTTATGGCATTAAAATATGGTTTAATAGTTAAACCACTAATTTTTCTACTTGGAATCGAAAGAAAAAGCCATGTCAGTGTGTTTTTAATCAGAGTTAACAACTCTCCATTATAATATTAACATCAGGGGGATTTTCCCTGAAACTCAATTAGCATTTTGTTTACCATCTTATATAACATTATATGTTTTACTTGAATATGTCCATATTTATGCTTGTTTTTAGCTTACATTTATATCTATATTTTTAAAAACTTGTTTTAGGGACATCATTCGTAGCACTGCGTGCAGTTATCTTCTATCTATTAAGTACTGAATTCTCATATATAAGTGTACAAGGGGAAAGGCTTTTCTATTAAATTTCCATATGTTGAGCATACATCTTATCGATATTTGTCCGCCATCACTGGACATCACAAAGGTTCCCGTAAAATTTTGACGTCACAATAGAAAATATCTGACGCCACAATGGAAAAGTGATTGTTGTATGACGTCAAAAGTTCAAGCGGTGCAGATTCTCGGGTCAACCGGCGTAGATTTCCAAATAGCAATAAGGTGTATTGAAACAGCAAATAGGGTACGGTACATACATGTTGTATTAATTAGTAATGCCTAGAAATGATGGAAATATATAGCACTCCGAAAAAAAATTGAAAGCAGGGATGAGGAATTTCACATCAAGTTGAGAGCAAGTAAGAGGGCCAAGTTGAAAATAGATGTTTCAATCATAGGAAAGTAATAAAATGTATGAAAATTGAAAATAAATTGGATCATGGGCTGTAAACTACAGTAAGAATACACAAAAATAATACACTGTTATCATCTTTTAGCTTTAAATCCTTCAGCACACGTCTTGTTCTTGGGCTGGCCATCTCTTATGTGTGTTACTATTATATAAGTTTGTCCTTATGGTTGAGTTTGCCTAAAAAAAGTCCCTTTAACGTGGGATGAGACGTGTGAGTTGTCAGACTTCGTTTGACATCAGCATGTAAAGCTAGTTTAGTTCGAAAATACAAACTCACCTTAAAAAATTGGATTATATGAAATCTATTACATATTTGCATACTAAAATAATTTTGAAAATATCAAAATCACATTTTAACTGTGGCAAATCTAATTCATCATGACAACAAATAAAGTATGTGATACGAGACTAGTACGACCAATTTAATGGCGGCGCCCATGGACAATATTATTGTTTTTGTTGATGTGATGTAAATATTCAAAATCGTGCTTATGTCATGATCAAACAAAGGAACATTTCTATTCAATAATGAAGAAAGATGGCAAAGTAGATGGACAAAGGCCGTTTAAATTGGGTAGATATCTTTAACTAAACCTGGAATTACATTACTTTTTTTTTACCAACATTTAAATTTTAGTATCATTAGTTTTGGTGCTACTTCTAATGACATTTATTCATCATCCATGTCAGCTACACAATATTCCCCAATTGGAGATATTCCATTGGAAAAGAAATTTCAAATAAGTGAAAATGGCACTCAAATTCGGGAGCAGATCTGTTTACTTGAAATTTTTAGATATAAATGCAAGGAAAACATATTACAATGGGTATATTCTGCCCCTGATTGACTACTGCTGTATTATTTGGGGTGAATGTAAAAATGAAGGGATAGCAAGAATTTTAAAACTCCAAAAAAGGGCAGCAAGATTAATTCTAGATGCAGTTCCTTTATCCCCCTCAGCCCCCTTATTTAAAGAACTTGGGTGGATGACAGTTGACAATATAATAAAATACCACAAATATTTACTTCTATATAAATGTATGCGTATGGAAGCACCAATGTACCTAGTTCAAAAGTTTAAACTGAAATCAGATAATAATCCTTACTCCCTGAGAGGCGTCACTCAAGGTAATCTGATAGTTCCTAAGCCAAAAGCTGAGCTATTTAAGAAATCTTTTGTTTATTCTGGATCAGTGTTATGGAATGGACTACCAAACAAAATGCGTAAAGCTCAAAACACTTATACTTTTAAACAAAGTATCAAGAAGTACTTAACACAGTCCTGATAAGATTATGTTTTCTACAATGTATTTGTATATTCTTTTATTTATATTTGTATTTGATTTTTTGACTACATGTACATCTTGAACAGCCTTATATCTTATCATGTTAGTAATATTACATTGAACTAATTGACTGTAAATTAACTATGTGTAAATATCTGTTTTTATACGCCCGTTTACGGGACGTATTATGGTATACCGTTGTCCGTCCGTCCGTCCGTCCGTCTGTCCGTCCGTCTTTCCGTCGTCAACATGTCGGACATTAACTCAAGAATGCTTTAACCAATTTGCATAAAACTTTGGTGAATTGTTTATATCTATTGACGTGAGCTCCCTTTCGTTTTTATAAAATTTAGATTTTACGTTTCCGAGTTATGGGGTTTTATTCATTAAAAAAAGGGGGATTTTCCAGTTTTCAGACAATAAGTCAAGAATGCTTTCACCAACTTGCAAGAAATTGTGGTGAATTGTTTATATCTATTAACATGAGCTCTCTTTTGATTTTTATAAATTTTAGATTTTACGTTTCCGAGTTACAGGGTTTTATCCATAAAAAAAGGGGGGATTTTTCAGTTTTCGGACAAAAACTCAAAAATGCTTTCAGCAATTCTTATGAAACTTTGGTGAATTGTTTGTATGTATTGATGTAAACTCCCTTTAGAATTTTATAAATTTTACATTTAACATTTCTGAGTTATGGGGTTTTATTCATTAAAAAAAGGGTGATTTTCCAGTTTTCAGACAATAACTCAAAAATGCTGTCACCAATTCTTATGAAACTTTGGTGAATTGTTTATATCTATTGATGTAAGCTCCCTTTTTATTTTCATAAATTTCTAATATGGCATTGAGAATTAATTGAACTTTATTTGTTTATAGTCTTGACAACAGATTTACTAAGTGTTGCACAACAGCAAGAAATTTTTAATTGAATATAAATTCAATTCATATAACCAATAAAAGTTCTTTGAATACATTTATTCAGAAACCTATAATATGTCAAATATTTAATTACAATCCAAATTCAGACCTGAATCAAGCTTGAATATTGTGTCCATTTCTGCCCCAACTGTTCAGGGTCGGACCTCTGCGGGCGTATCTAGCTGCGCTCAGCGAAGCAGTTTATTTGATTGTATTGTAATTTGTATGTGAGGGCCTCAGGGAAGATTAGTTTATTGTAACTAACTGAGTTTACCCTCTTTAAATAAAGAATTTATTATTATTATTATTATTATTGATTGTCTGTATTTTTTGCAAAATTTTTGTGTTCAAATACGAATTAATTACGATAAGCAGGCAAAAATCTACGGTTTACCTCCAATCCTGAAATAAACATTATTTTAGTATGCAAATATGTAATAGATTTCTTATAATCCAAAATTGGTATAAAATTTGTGGATCAGGTTTAAACATGTTAAAGGACGCTTGTAATATTGGAATCATCATTGTTTAAAGCACTTCACTGACTATAGCTTGACATCCAGTGTTAGGAATATCTTCAGACGAAGATGACGGTCTTGATAAGAATGATGGAAATGAAAGTGTAGCTTTGAAAAGCGACCGAAAAGATGACATGGAATCTCTGAAAAGAAAGTCCAAATACATGCAGAAGTAAAAAGAATCATTACGTTCCTTACTGCTGTGTTTATTGTCTTAAAATACGGGAGAGCACAAGGTCAAGTGTATGAATTCAGTCATGTCAGTTGTAGACACACAGGCAAAAAGGGATGATTTTGACTATGTTGTATTTAAATATTGCTTCCACAATGAGTTCCAGATGTAACAATACTTATAAATACAAATTTCTCAATTTTTCTAAATTTATTACATTCATCTTACACACAAATTTTTTGTGTCAGTGTGTAAGGTGAATGTAACAAATTTTATGAAATAAATGTGTTCTGTATCTGCAAAACATCACTCAAACAGCTGTGAGAATGTTTTATGTAAAGTCCTGATAGAAATGATACTGGAAAGGATTTCTACGCAAATTATGCGAAAGTCAGATTAAAAAGTTAACTATTTTTGATTCATTAGTTTATTGATCTTTATATTGATTTTCCACTGTTATTGAGGACTTTGTCCTCATATAAATACATCATCATGATAAGTGTTATTTGGTTTTATACAGTATTGTATTTAAGTTCTCGAAATCTTTTTTTCCCCTGGTAGCCCTTGAAGAAAATCTGCTGGTCCTCACTATAATTTCTATTGCAAAATACTAAAATTGTGTTGGCTGTTTGCAAAATTTTGGTGGTTAAAACTTTCTGACCACCACTTTTCGAGAATACTGAATGTAAATTAAAGGTAAACTTATGCAGTTCAACAAAAAAAGCATAAATCTTTGTTATAATCTATTATTAAATTTATGAATTAATGTATTATGATAGTACACACTATACATACATGTACAATGTATATGGTAAATATATCAGTCATAATAACCCATCCTGCCAGCTTGTACTCCAGAAGGTGTTGGTTCACTTATTTAGTCATAATAAGGATAAGATCAACTTGCAGAGAAAGAAATAACATTGCAAAGATGGCATATAACTATGCTCAAATAAGAAGGAAAACTTATACAATATTTAGTGAGAAAATACCTAATATATTCACAATAAATCAAATGCTTCCTTAAATTGATGATGCAAATTATTGTATTACAAATCCATACTAAAAAATGTCAAACAGTTTTTGGGTAAAGATTGCATGAAATGCAATCAATACCCTATGGTACTGACTTGATATTTAAATCTTCCAACATAGTCCCAAGGATTATCATTACCTTTGATAGTTCAAACATAATAATGCAGTTATGTGATCATTCTTTAGATCCTATCCAGTCAATGTCAAGCAATTTATTAATGACATGTTATAATTAGATATTCAAGTCTTAATGTGATGTGCATTTGAATTATCATACTTGTCAAGAAAACTTTCTTTATTAAAAAAATACATAAGTTATGCATGCTGTATGAATCTCTCAACTACAATGTGCAATTATGAATAAAGGAAGATAACTCCAATTACAATTCAATGTTTAAATTCACAAAATTGCAAAATGAAAGCAATCTTTACCCTTGCTCACAAGCACTTTGATTTTTTTCTGCAGCTCATCAGACTTTGTGCATAAGAGCAATTAACTTTAACAGAAGATCAGTTGTGGTGAGTACATTTACTTTTATTTTAAGCCTTACAGGTGCTTAATTTTGTAACATCCTTGTTATACAACTATAAGTAAAAACCATTCCATAGTTTTTTGACAATTGGACACTGGATTTGGCATAAATTAATATGCAAGTACATGTATTCAGATCTAAAATAACCACAATTATACCGCAAATGGTCAAATTTTACCATCTTACACTTTCATAAAGTTTAATTTTCTTTACAGTAATGCTGCATTTTAAAGTTTATTTCTTTGTGTCTTCAGGGATATGTAGAGCTAGCCATTCATCCACTGGTTCCAAACCTTAGAAGAGTCAAGATTAACAGTAAACAATGTAATATCCTTTAATTATTTAATTCATAATTTACTAGACCAACTGTATAACATTCTATAATCATTTTGTATCCTTAGGAACAAGTAAAAAAATATACATAAGAGCTGTTTATGTGAAGTCGGTTCTTTTTTCATTGGTTAGATTATTATTAAAAAGATGAGGTAACATTAAAACAATTGGATTATTCGAACAGGATAAAATAGCACCAGTAGTTTGCTGATCTTAATCATGTATTGATAATTTGATTTATATTGTTGTTAATGTCATGAATGTCAGTGTATTCTTGTGTATTATGTATGTTTGTAAAGTAAAATGTCCATATACATGCCATTACTTCTTTACAAGCAGGCTGTACTTTGACCTATAATTGTTAACTTTTTATACATTGTGACTTGGATGGAGAGTTGTCTCATTGACACTCATACCACATCTTCTTATTTATATTAACATCAACAAGATTTAAATAGAATATTCTGTTTTTGATATATTAAAGTATGAACTGGGCAGCCAATTTTCTTCTTAGTTTGTGAGCTCCCAGCTAATTCTACACATTGATAAGCTCAGAAAATCAATAGAGAATCCATTCTGTTTTCTCCCGTTCACAGTTCATAAATGCAGTTCAACAGTCTCAATATTTAATTTTTTTATTTACTGTTATAACCTAAATTATGACATCCTAGTGTTCTCTAAATTATTATTTGCCTAATTGTGATTCACCACTATGTACCCAGAAATAAAAGAAGACAAATTATTGATTGGTAAAAAAGAGAAATATGGAAAATAATAACGTAAAGAATTTGCTAAAGTTTTCTTTTTTGACAATTTTGAACATCCCTATATCTGCATTTTTTTAGACTTCTATATTGAAAGTCTGAATTATGTAGAAGTATATATGATAAATGCAAAAAACAGTAGTTTTCAACTGATCGACTAACAGCATATCAAATCCGTTGAAGACAACAAATATAAGATTGGATTTATTGCACTATATAAAAAGGGGAACAAAAAACACACAAAAACATTTTTGTTGAATGAATAAATATAAATACAAATATTGATCCTTAACATTTGATAAGAATTTACCAAGTCAGTATAAATGAGCAATGGGATGCAAGATTCCTGTACAATGATCCATCACTGGAGATCTGTCAAGGAGATGCTAAACAGTAAGTCTCTTTAAAGTTTCATTATATTTTCAGATTATTCAAATTTTCCATATAAATTCAAAGTTTGGAGCTTACATTTTAAAGGTTATAGATATTTTATTGTGTTGTTTTTATATGTCCATCATTGACAGAATGTTTTATGGTATAACAATGTCCATCTGTCTGTTCAGATGTCATACTAAAGACTGGAGAATCCTTTGATCAAACAACAAGTAACTTTTATTGAATACTAAATTGATGGAAAAAAGCTTCCTTTTGATTTGGAAGTTATATGGTTTGTTGTTCCAGGGTAACAGGACTTATATTAATTACTGTTGGAAGAGCAACTTTACAACTTCAAAAATTCTCCTTCCGCTAACAGTGAACACATATCAGAGGTTATTTTGGAAATAGATGTTATAACACTGAATCTTGTCATAGAAAATAATATATCTATTTTTAATAACAAATATGATAACTGACTCCTGAAATAAAACATACCATAATAATCAGAGAATATTATTTCAGACGTAATCTTGATTATTTCCAAAACTTCCATTTGACTTCTATGACATCAGTTGACCCTGACACTGGAAATGGAGAAGTTACAATAAGATTACCACCAGAATCTCATCCTTTAATATCAGGTAGGTAATGGAGAAGTTACAATAAGATTACCACCAGAATCTCATCCTTTAATATCAGGTAGGTAATGGAGAAGTTACAATAAGATTACCACCAGAATCTCATCCTTTGATATCAGGTAGGTAATGGAGAAGTTACAATAAGATTACCACCAGAATCTCATCCTTTAATATCAGGTAGGTCATGGAGAAGTTATAATAAGATTACCACCAGAATCTCATCCTTTAATATCAGATAGGTAATGGAGAAGTTACAATAAGATTACCACCAGAATATCATCCTTTGATATCAGATAGGTAATGGAGAAGTTACAATAAGATTACCACCAGAATATCATCCTTTGATATCAGGTTGGTAATGGAGAAGTTACAATAAGATTTCCACCAGATCATCCTTTAATATCAGGTAGGTAATGGAGAAGTTACAGTAAGATTTCCATCAGATCATCCTTTAATATCAGGTAGGTCATGGAGAAGTTACAGTAAGATTAGCACCAGAATCTCATCCTTAAATATCTGGTAGGTCATGGAGAAGTTACAATAAGATTAGCACCAGATCATCCTTTAATATCAGGTAGGTCATGGAGAAGTTACAATAAGATTAGCACCTGAATCTCATCCTTTAATATCAGGTAGGTAATGGAGAAGTTACAATAAGATTAGCACCAGAATCTCATCCTTAAATATCTGGTAGGTCATGGAGAAGTTACAGTAAGATTACCACCAGAATCACATCCTTTAATATCAGGTAGGTAATGGAGAAGTTACAATAAGATTAGCACCAGAATCTCATCCTTAAATATCTGGTAGGTCATGGAGAAGTTACAATAAGATTAGCACCAGATCATCCTTTAATATCAGGTAGGTCATGGAGAAGTTACAATAAGATTAGCACCTGAATCTCATCCTTTAATATCAGGTAGGTAATGGAGAAGTTACAATAAGATTAGCACCAGAATCTCATCCTTAAATATCTGGTAGGTCATGGAGAAGTTACAGTAAGATTACCACCAGAATATCATCCTTTAATATCAGGTAGGTAATGGAGAAGTTACAATAAGATTAGCACCAGAATCTCATCCTTAAATATCTGGTAGGTCATGGAGAAGTTACAATAAGATTAGCACCAGATCATCCTTTAATATCAGGTAGGTCATGGAGAAGTTACAATAAGATTAGCACCTGAATCTCATCCTTTAATATTAGGTAGGTCATCATGGAGAAGTTACAATAAGATTGCCACCAGGATCTCATCCTTTAATATCAGGTAGGTCATGGAGAAGTTACAATAAGATTTGCACCAGAATCTCATCCTTTAATATCAGGTAGGTCATGGAGGAGTTACAATAAGATTAGCACCAGATTCTCATCCTTTAATATCAGGTAGGTCATGGAGAAGTTACAATAAGATTACCACCAGAATCTCATCCTTTTATATCAGGTAGGTCATGGAGAAGTTACAATAAGATTACCACCAGAATCTCATCCTTTTATATCAGGTAGGTAATGGAGAAGTTACAATAAGATTACCACCAGGATCTCATCCTTTAATATCAGGTAGGTCATGGAGAAGTTACAATAAGATTACCACCAGAATCTCATCCTTTAATATCAGGTAGGTCATGGAGAAGTTACAATAAGATTACCACCAGAATCTCATCCTTTAATATCAGGTAGGTAATGGAGAAGTTACAATAAGATTAGCACCAGAATCTCATCCTTTGATATCAGGTAGGTAATGGAGAAGTTACAATAAGAATACCACCAGATCATCCTTTAATATCAGGTAGGTCATGGAGAAGTTACAATAAGATTACCACCAGAATCTCATCCTTTAATATCAGGTAGGTAATGGAGAAGTTACAATAAGATTTCCATCAGATCATCCTTTAATATCAGGTAGGTCATGGAGAAGTTACAGTAAGATTACCACCAGAATCACATCCTTTAATATCAGGTAGGTCAAGGAGAAGTTACAATAAGATTACCACCAGAATCTCATCCTTTAATATCAGGTAGGTAATGGAGAAGTTACAATAAGATTACCACCAGAATCTCATCCTTTAATATCAGGTAGGTAATGGAGAAGTTACAATAAGATTACCACCAGAATCTCATCCTTTGATATCAGGTAGGTAATGGAGAAGTTACAATAAGATTACCACCAGAATCTCATCCTTTAATATCAGGTAGGTCATGGAGAAGTTATAATAAGATTACCACCAGAATCTCATCCTTTAATATCAGATAGGTAATGGAGAAGTTACAATAAGATTACCACCAGAATATCATCCTTTGATATCAGATAGGTAATGGAGAAGTTACAATAAGATTACCACCAGAATATCATCCTTTGATATCAGGTTGGTAATGGAGAAGTTACAATAAGATTTCCACCAGATCATCCTTTAATATCAGGTAGGTAATGGAGAAGTTACAGTAAGATTTCCATCAGATCATCCTTTAATATCAGGTAGGTCATGGAGAAGTTACAGTAAGATTACCACCAGAATCACATCCTTTAATATCAGGTAGGTAATGGAGAAGTTACAATAAGATTAGCACCAGAATCTCATCCTTAAATATCTGGTAGGTCATGGAGAAGTTACAATAAGATTAGCACCAGATCATCCTTTAATATCAGGTAGGTCATGGAGAAGTTACAATAAGATTAGCACCTGAATCTCATCCTTTAATATCAGGTAGGTAATGGAGAAGTTACAATAAGATTAGCACCAGAATCTCATCCTTAAATATCTGGTAGGTCATGGAGAAGTTACAGTAAGATTACCACCAGAATATCATCCTTTAATATCAGGTAGGTAATGGAGAAGTTACAATAAGATTAGCACCAGAATCTCATCCTTAAATATCTGGTAGGTCATGGAGAAGTTACAATAAGATTAGCACCAGATCATCCTTTAATATCAGGTAGGTCATGGAGAAGTTACAATAAGATTAGCACCTGAATCTCATCCTTTAATATTAGGTAGGTCATCATGGAGAAGTTACAATAAGATTGCCACCAGGATCTCATCCTTTAATATCAGGTAGGTCATGGAGAAGTTACAATAAGATTTGCACCAGAATCTCATCCTTTAATATCAGGTAGGTCATGGAGGAGTTACAATAAGATTAGCACCAGATTCTCATCCTTTAATATCAGGTAGGTCATGGAGAAGTTACAATAAGATTACCACCAGAATCTCATCCTTTTATATCAGGTAGGTCATGGAGAAGTTACAATAAGATAACCACCAGAATCTCATCCTTTTATATCAGGTAGGTAATGGAGAAGTTACAATAAGATTACCACCAGGATCTCATCCTTTAATATCAGGTAGGTCATGGAGAAGTTACAATAAGATTACCACCAGAATCTCATCCTTTAATATCAGGTAGGTCATGGAGAAGTTACAATAAGATTACCACCAGAATCTCATCCTTTAATATCAGGTAGGTAATGGAGAAGTTACAATAAGATTAGCACCAGAATCTCATCCTTTGATATCAGGTAGGTAATGGAGAAGTTACAATAAGAATACCACCAGATCATCCTTTAATATCAGGTAGGTCATGGAGAAGTTACAATAAGATTACCACCAGAATCTCATCCTTTAATATCAGGTAGGTAATGGAGAAGTTACAATAAGAATACCACCAGATCATCCTTTAATATCAGGTAGGTCATGGAGAAGTTACAATAAGATTACCACCAGAATCTCATCCTTTGATATCAGGTAGGTCATGGAGAAGTTACAATAAGATTACCAGCAGAATCTCATCCTTTAATATCAGGTAGGTCATAGAGAAGTTACAATAAGATTACCACCAGAATCTCATCCTTTAATATCAGGTAGGTCATGGAGAAGTTACAATAAGATTACCACCAGAATATCATCCTTTGATATCAGGTTGGTAATGGAGAAGTTACAATAAGATTTCCACCAGATCATTCTTTAATATCAGGTAGGTCATGGAGAAGTTACAATAAGATTACCACCAGAATCTCATCCTTTAATATCAGGTAGGTCATGGAGAAGTTACAATAAGATTACCACCAGACTCTCATCCTTTGATATCAGGTAGGTAATGGAGAAGTTACAATAAGATTACCACCAGAATCTCATCCTTTAATATCAGGTAGGTAATGGAGAAGTTACAATAAGATTTCCATCAGATCATCCTTTAATATCAGGTAGGTCATGGAGAAGTTACAGTAAGATTACCACCAGAATCACATCCTTTAATATCAGGTAGGTCAAGGAGAAGTTACAATAAGATTATCACCAGAATCTCATCCTTTAATATCAGGTAGGTAATGGAGAAGTTACAATAAGATTACCACCAGAATCTTATCCTTTAATATCAGGTAGGTAATGGAGAAGTTACAATAAGATTACCACCAGAATCTCATCCTTTAATATCAGGTAGGTCATGGAGAAGTTACAATAAGATTACCACCAGAATCTCATCCTTTAATATCAGGTAGGTCATGGAGAAGTTACAATAAGATTACCACCAGAATCTCATCCTTTAATATCAGGTAGGTCATGGAGAAGTTACAATAAGATTACCACCAGACTCTCATCCTTTGATATCAGGTAGGTAATGGAGAAGTTACAATAAGATTACCACCAGACTCTCATCCTTTAATATCAGGTAGGTAATGGAGAAGTTACAATAAGATTACCACCAGAATCTCATCCTTTAATATCAGGTAGGTAATGGAGAAGTTACAATAAGATTACCACCAGACTCTCATCCTTTGATATCAGGTAGGTAATGGAGAAGTTACAATAAGATTACCACCAGAATCTCATCCTTTAATATCAGGTAGGTAATGGAGAAGTTACAATAAGATTACCACCAGAATTTCATCCTTTCATATCAGGTAGGTCATGGAGAAGTTACAATAAGATTACCACCAGACTCTCATCCTTTGATATCAGGTAGGTAATGGAGAAGTTACAATAAGATTACCACCAGAATCTCATCCTTTA